AAAAAAATACTCTGTACAAAACAATGAATTTAAATTTATTACCGATTAATTTTTTTAATTAAATATTACTTCGTACTATAGAATAAAAATCAAAGAATCAAAACAAAAACATGTTTTGTAATAATTATGGAGTATCCTAAAAGTACGTACACTAAAAAAAATCCCATGGCATGATCACATTAAAATGGAATCTTAAAAATTCTATATACTAGAAAACAAACAAATAAATTAGTAATTTATTTTATTGTTATTATTTATAAATAAAAAGATAGAGTATATGATGTGTCATGAAGTAAATGCAGGTGAATGATACATTCATAATAGGACGAAAAAGATTCTTTATTAAACATGGAGTTGCTGGGTAGTCCTATTATATGTACTTGATATTATCCTTATATTATTTGCCTTTATTTTTTTTCACCATCCGATTTATATACTCTCTCCTCTTACATACATTGAATACTATTCATTAGGATTTATCCTAGCTATATCATCTTTAGTTTCCAAACCAGAAAAATAAGATAGCTTACAGAGCAAAGGATGAAAGAAAAATTATAAAAGTGAGATTATATATTTCTATCAAAAATTCAAGAGTAGCAGGAAGGTAAGTTCATCATATCTTGATTTTCATAGTTTTTTTAATTACATATTATCTTTCAAGAATAGTTTAAAAGATAAAATTAAATTCTATTTTTCAATCTTAAATACTCCGTATTAAATCTACTCTTTGTTTTTAATTTATAAAAAAAATGTTTTTTTTATTATGAGGAAACTTCTTCCTTTAATTATCTAATTTTAATTTTATAACTATAAGTTTCTGATGTGAAGGATCCCTACTTTGGGCAATCACAGAGCATACTTCTCATAGTTTTAATAAAATATTTTAATTTGTTTATGAAGAAAATTAAATAATTTACTTTTTGAGAAGAACAAGAATTCTGAGATTTTGAGCAAATTCGTGCTGATAACGTGTTATAAAATGAGAGAAAAATTACTCAAAGATTATGAGAATAGATAAAATATATTTCTGATGTTTTCTCTCTATTAACTCTTCACTCTTCTTCTTATTCTTAATGGTGATTACAATGCAGGGATTAAGCCTCTATTTATAGTGGAGAGGCTTGATATGATTACAAATACAAGTGGGAAGTACTGTACATAATTAGTGTTCATCAATTAATGTCTTAATCTACTATTCTAGAAAAGTAGGCCTGATTAATTGAATAAATGAACAATCATTAATTTCATAGCATTTAGGTCTTTTTTAAAAACAGGTCCAAACTATTCTGGTCCTCGGGATGAAAAGAGGAGTCAAGCAAGGAGACCCTCTCTCTCTCTTCTTTTTACCATAGCCGGTGAAAGGGCTCTGACCTACTATATGTCCACCGGTTATATAAAAAATTTCAACACTGGAAGAGACAAACTGATTAGCCATTTGGCATATGCACACTGGATGTTATCATTTTTTGCAATAGTGTAAAGGGGGTCCCCAAAAAATACCAAGAAGCATCATGAAAAGAGATAGTCTATACTAAGAGCAGATTCTACTGCGGAAAAGGAAATAAAACAGCTGCAATCCTACAGATGAAAAATATCCTAGGAATGATAAAAGATACACTACCATTCAAGCAGCGGATCCAGAATTCAAAACCACTGGGGGCGAACTGAACTTGAAGAAAAAATATTCTCTCCATTTTAATTTAAGTTGTATTTTTTGTCATTCACAAGATCAAACTTTAATAATTTTTACCGTATTTTCATTGCTCATTTGATAAAACAATCTAGTCATGTCACTTCTTATTTTGTAGTACCTTCAATGTTGTTTTCAAATATATAAATTTTATTTTCTAATGCTACCACAATTGTCATAAATTCATTTAAAAATAACTTTGGTCAAGTAAACAACAACATGCAATTAAAAATGAACCGAATGGAAAATAACCAATAGATAAAGCACACTAACATAATAAGAACTAGTATTCCTACCCGTGCAATGCACGGGTTCAGACGAATATCTTGCCGATTCTGAATTTATTCAATGCAATATTTTTTTCCGGAATAAAGAAAATATACCTCATGCATGATTTATAATAACACAGAAAAGAAAGTCAAAGTAAAAAGAATATTATTTGAGGAATTGAATCTACACACAACAAAGTTTGCTTTAATACCAAATTTTTTGAAAGATTTCAGGGTATACAACATTTTTTGTATGGCTGCAAGGATTTCCATTGTCATCTAAGACTAATATTTTTAATCTTGTCTTTGTCTTCACTTGCGAAACAGCAACATAAAGTTGATCATGAGTGAACACTGACTTGGTTAAAAATAAGCCAACAAATGACAATGTTTGACCTTGACTTTTGTTAAAAGTCATAGCAAAACATAATACTATTGGAAATTATCTTCTCTGGAACTTTAGAGGTAGTCCTGGATCAGACGGCACCAAATTCATCCGGGGTATGTAAACTTTTTTGCCCACTCGATTTCTCGAAACCACAATAGCACCAATAACATTCTTTCGCATCTCGTTGACAATTAATCTTGTACCATTACACAATCCATAGGAGATTTGTTAGCCTTAAAATCACAGAGCAGACCGTCAATCTACACATCAATCTACACATCAATGACTCTTGAATTCTTATTCAATGACTCTTCAATCTACACATCACAGAATTCTTATTCTTATTCCCTGGGGCTACCACACCGATTTTGGTGACATTACATGGACAAATATATATGCACACACACATATGTATGTATGTATGTATGTATGCATGCATGCATGTATGTATGTATGTATATGCAGCTTGTATTTGAATTGGTTTGAAATACAGAGTAGATTTTACCTATATCTTTTCTACAGAATAGATTTAGATTTTACCTATATCTTTTCTATGTTATATATGTAAATTTTCATATTGCATAATATTAATTAATTACTGGTCTACACAATGTGATAACTTTTTAAATTTACAAATATTAGGAATTAGGGAAGTTTTGATCACTTCCCAAGTTTGTGTTGATTTATGCATTTGATTTTCAATTTTGAATTTAGATGTTTTACCCCCTAATTTTATACAATGATGAGAGAGCCTCACTATGAAGGTACTCTGTATTATGCATTTCATCTTCAAGGGAAAATGTGATATATGATATATATCATTGCATTACTCATCAAGTTGATAGATCTGCTATATATGATGGAGAGTTTATCTCTTCTCTATCTTCCAAACATTCTTTCCTGGTGTTAAGACTAAAAGTATGGTAACATACCTAGCGGCTAGCGGGACGGTTCCCATGACATTGCCCGGTAATGTCATATATGGGATGATTTGGGAATGCTCCGATGCCCCGTTTATAAAATTGACGGTTCCTACCCCCATAACTAGACCTGGCAAAACAGAACTGTAACCGATTACCTGATCCGAAATATCCAAAACCGAAACCCAAATGACCCAAAAAATGAATATCTGATCTATAACCGAAAACCCGAAATGATCCGTATCGAACTAAAACCGAACTAAATAATTTATATCTGATTTAAATCCCAAACTTATAATATCCAACCGATTAAACCCAAAACCGATTAGATCCGAAACCGATAATACCCAAAACCGATAAAACCCGAAACCGATTAGATTCGAAACTGATAATATCCGAACCCGATTAGAACTAAAATCGATAATTCAGAACTATGTTTGCCTTTCTATAAGAATATTATATTTTTAAATTTTTACTTTTATTTTACCATTTGAACTAATTACATTAATTGTTCATTCCCTCATAAAATGGATTATCTTCTTAAAAAAAGTATAAAATTTCATGCCTTAAATTTTTTATATGTAGAAATTAGAGATAAGTTATACATATAAATCATAACGCACAAACAAATAAAATTTTCGTAATTTTTAAATAGTGAAGTGTGATATTCTTTTTGGGACGAAAGGATTATACTACCTCCGTCCTAGAGTATTTGTCCACTTTCATTTTTACACACCATCCAATACACTTTTTTAATCCATTTTATCTTGTAATTTGTATATTAAAAAATTATAGAAATTATATATTAAAAATCTATATGTTAAGACAAATCAAACAAGATCACACATGACTATATTTAGTGTAACACCCTAATCCGTCCAGGTCTGCAGCCCCTTTCGGACTAAAGTATTAACTTGGTAATCGTAAAATTTAAAACTTTTCAAACACTTTTATTTATTATAATAATATTTTTCATATCATAAACAGTACAGAGTTTTCAATATTGCGGAAGCTTAACAAATTATAACCACAAACATAATTTATTTATATTCTTTAATTCAAAATCATCACATCCATTCTGACTATCTCGCCTCCGTCTGCCTCCAGGATCACATCACATCATTCTATTGACCTGCGTGTAGCAAATAAAACACACTACACGCTCAGCGGTAAAGCTGAGTAGGCATATCTAATGCGTCGAACATCCACATAAATTGAATCTCAATTCATAATCAACCATTTGATATCATGCACATAATGTTCAGTTTAGATATTCAATAATCAATATTCATTATGTATATTCATCATTCATATTCAACATTTTTATACATCATACAATATTCATCATTTGTCATTCAACAATATCCTTAAACTATTCTTAGTCTAAGGCCAATCTATTTGATGTTTACCAACTCTTAAACGAATTCTAGTCTAACATAGTTAAACTATATTTAAGTTTAAGGTACTCTTATCTAACCCTTAAGCTAGGCCTAGTTTAAGATATAAATTTTCAAAAGAGGTTTTCAAAATCTTAAACTTACCTTCGATTAAGGTCATCCAAAAACCGAACAGCGGATCCGAAATGCTCACTGTCGGGTTGGGTGGTATCCCCAAACGAGTGCCTCAAGTTTGGTTTGTAGATCCCGTACGTATGTTTTAACCCAGGCCACCGAATACTCATGATTATACCCGCAAGGCCTATTTCTAAGCTATCTTATAGGTCTTCTAGATAGTCTTAGAAACCAAAGTCAACCTAGGTATATCTTAGAGTTCTTCTAGATATCCTTAGTTAGGTTTAGTAAAGTATTAGTAGTTGTATAAGTAAAGTTAAGTATTAAATTATGAACTATTAGTAAAATTAGTCACCAAAGGTGTTCGGTATTAGTAGTATTATTAGTAAGTAGTATTAGTAGTTGTATTGTAAGCTATCGTAATAGCGGCCTAGCTTCGAGTGTTAACACCCGAACTTACCGTCATGCATCACATAGCATTTTATTTGTCAAAAACATCATTTTTATTGTGGTGAATCGTTTTTATAATAATCATATTCAATTGGTATTAAAAATAGGATTTTGTGGTTCATAATTTGGATTTTCTGGAAAACTAATCGGATCAGACTGTACCCTTCACGGTACCTCGGTACCGGTTAACGGCACCTTGGTACCGTGCCGACGATAGGGTGTACCGCCGGTGGACAGGTACCGCCAGTGGAATTCGGTGGAGACGATAGCAAACCTACCGTCCCGACGGCAGGTGGGTACCGTTTGGACGGTATCTAGCTACCGTTCCGGCGGTAGTTCGTTACCGTGTACTGTTCATCATCTTCTACCTCGGGTTTAGTTTTGGGAATTCCATTTTTAGTCACCAAACTTCAATTAAACTATATAGAATGTTCTCTAATGTTCATAGATCATTTTGGTGTCATTAATTCATAGTTTTATCATTAAATTCAAGGTTTATGATTCTCGGTTCTTCGAACATGTCAAACACAAAACTCAACCAAACGACCATTTATGAACGTAGAAACGATCTATACGAACATTCTAGTCATTAGTTATATCAACGGGCTTACCTCGAAGCTTATTGAAGGTTTTGGAAATTTTCCGGCAAAACTTCCGGCGAGGTTTGTGGCTAGCTCTGGCGACTTCACAACAAAATGGCAGCACCAGTGCACTCCTCTCTCAACAAGGAACAGAATAGAAAGAAATATGGAGTGTTTTTAATGAAGAATTGAGGAAGATGGAATTCCTTATGTAGAGAAGGTGAGAGGGAAGAAGACGCAGGATGATGATGATGGATCCGCTAGTGCGCTAGGAGGCGCCGATCGAATAGGTCTCTGATTGGGACCAATTTTGGTTCTAGTCGGAGTACACTTTTTGGTCCAACTTTCTCCGAATTGAAATCTGATTGTACCGTTTCGATCAGACAGTCGAATTCTATTCAACGATATATTTTTTTCATACTTATTTGTAATACTTTTTCCGACATCATATTTTTGGTGTTTGACTCTGACAGAGTCAAAATTCGTTTAATTGACCTTTATTCAAAAAGGTTTTCACATTTAATTCATATTATTTATTTCCATGATTTATTTCAATAAATCATTTCAAAGTTCACATTACAAACAATTTCTTCATTTATTCTTAATTTGGGTCTGTACTCAGGTTCCCAATCAAGATCACACAATAAGTCAACAGGTTGGATTTATCTTTATGAGATTTAACCCAATTATGTTTATTGGACATCAATGTATATTTTATTTCGGCCCAAAGCCCAACAATAATTTATTTTACTCAAAACAAATTTTGTTTAATTGAATATTTTATTCAATAAATTTTAGGGTATATTTTGGGGCGTTACATTTAGGCTTACACATTGAGAGAATTTGATGAGTCAAAGTGCTTAGATGAACAGTTCCAAAAGTCAAAACTGGACGAATACTCCGGGATTGAGAGAGTATGATGAATTGTATAGAATAACTAGATTTTATCCTAACTTAATCTCATTACAATAAATTATATTGATTTGAGAGTTAATTTGATTAGTATCAAACCAATTCACTCAATATTAGGCAATAAAATTAAATGCTAGTGTGAGCATTTTGAAAAGACTCTCTAGCGGAAGCATTTAGTGTTATCATTTTTAAATTTGATCTACACCATTACATTTAAGTGTAAAAATAATTATATTTGACTCTTTTAAATTTAATTTTATCTATTTTCAACCAAATACACTCAATAATTTATAAATTTTGCACTCAATCGAATAAAATTCACTTAATTTCCCCTAATTTTACTCAATTTTTACCAAATTGTAGTCAAATGGAACATAACACTATTTAAATTTATTTTTTATCTTTTCATTTATAAACATAAGTATATTAGTAGATGGGAGAAAAATTTGATATTTCAAAACTAAATTTTAGAATCAATTTAATTATATTAAATTTATGTCATTATTAAATATATATGTTTTCATAATTTGCTGTCCAAATTTGTAAAATATGACTAAAAAGTCAAAAAGGGAAGATTAATTAGGGTAGAGATAATATAATTAGAAAAAAATATAAAATAATACTCCGTATGAGGTATTGAATTGATGAAAGATTGATAAATGTGATAAAACATAAAAAGAAACATGGGTAGTTAAATTAGAAAATAATATATATCCAAAATATATTTGATCTAAAACCGAAATATATCCGAACCGAACTAGACCCGAAACCAAAATGTATCTGACTCAAATTGTATCCGAACCGATTTATAACAGAACCGTATCTGAACCGAATCAAATCTGAACCGAAATTTAACCGATTCGATCCAAACCGAATTGATTATAACATATAACCGAAAGATATCTGAACTAAAAAATCCAACCCGAAACCGATCCGATTGACCCGATTGCTACCTCTACCCATAACCCCCCGTAAACCCCACTCCACCCCGACCCGAACACACTCCCACCCCCTCAATTGCACCCCTGAATTGCATAACCCACCGCATACATAGATACCTACTCCATGTATTTTTATCTGTACCTAAAATTATCTACGTAAAAATTGTAAGCATTAAGGCAATTAAAAATGTATAGATTGTTGTTACTTGTAAGTAACATTATGTCACTTTATTTCTCTATTGGAAGGCTTTATTAATTGTTGGACTATATATAGCTCAATAATTTCTTAGTGGCCTTTTTAGTATTTTGGTGTTTTCTATCATCTAGAATCAAAGTATGTTAATGAAATGCTCCTTTATATTTAAGTATTTTTGCGAATTGATAATTTTTAAGTAAATATTTTCTCGAAATAGAGTACATGAGCATACTTGAGGTGGGTCTATTCTCGAAATAATCCCACAGTCGATGTAGTGTGTGTGCGTGTGTCTATATATAATAATAATAATAATAATAATAATAATAATTATTATTATTATTATTATTATTATTATAACAACAACAATTAGAATGAGAATAATATAAAAAGTACACTTTGATAAGGTTTTTGAACTTATTTTTAAGATTTCCCGATTTTTTTAGTTTTTCCAATTCCATCAAATTTTTTCAAGCTCGTTCAAGTTTTATCTAATTTCTTCCAATTCCTTCCATTTTTTCTAGTTTCTTTCAGTTCTTCCAGTTTTCTAACTCCTTCCAATTTCTTACAATATTTAACTGTTTTTTGCCAGTCGTAAAACCATGCCCTGGTAACAACCTGGTTCGCTAACCCATTCATTCGAGTTACCCTAGTTTGGGTGTTACAATACCCATGGCTTATTTCGGGAGAACAATTCCAAGTGACTATAGTTTTCATGTAGAATGCTTTCATACTCATTTCTTAATATTTACGTCTTATCCGATTAAAGTATTTTAGTTTGCCCAAAATAACTATAGTCCGAAAGTGATTCTTTTACGATTAGTAAGCCTATTAAGAACCTCTTTCGCAACCCCTACAAAACCTATCCTCCAACCTTGGTTGATTTGGATCCCAAGCTTGGGATAGAACTTGTAACAAAGCACCACGCTCCGCATATGTAGTCCTTCATGGATGTGCTCTAAAGTTTTTCTCAAGCACTGTACGAACATTACCCTACCAAAGAAACCAGGCGAGCAAGAATGTAGTGGTTGACTTTGATACCATTAATACAACTCAAGGGAGAAATATACCATAAAAACTACTAGTTGTTAAGGTGGGAGGGCGGGGCCCTTGACTGTATATTCCCAAGTCTAAGATGGAACCACTAACGCTCGACAAGCCCCACGTCCGCTTCTCCTAAACGTATTGTGGTACCTAGATTGGGTTAAAGTTTGAGTGTTCAAATTTTGAATCATTCTGTTCAAGTAACTAAAATCATAATATCAATTATTTGAAAATGTTTATTGGAAATTTGGAATATTGGACGAAGCCATGCCTTATTCTTCTGTCTACACACAGCCAAGGAAAGGTTCAAAATATCAATCTAGTTCGATGACTGATTCAAATTCTCATGTGTGCATAAAGACTAAAGTCAAGTGGCATACTGGAAGGATGACTTTGTTCAAGTCTTTTGTACTCCCTCCGTCCCAACTTAAGTTGTATGTTTACTATTCACATGATCAAACTTTAATCACGTTATTGATTTATTTTTGCGGCCCATTTGAGAAAATAATATAGTTATGTCACCTCTTATTTTGTAGAACTTTTAATGCTGTTTTCAAACTTATAAATTTTACTTTTTAGTTCTTTACCAATTTTCAAATAAATTGAATTGAAAATAACTTCAATCGAACCTCGTAAACAACATGCTACTCTCTTTGGGATGGATGGAGTACTAAAATACAGGGGAAGAGAAGTGCACTTTTTAAGCTTCAATTGATTTCACAAAGCATTGATGAATTACAAGTATAAAAGGTATAAGAGAGTGAAATTTATCTTACCAAATGCACAATGGCCCTCGTTTTTCAATGAGAGAGAAGTGTGAGAACCTGCTACATCTAAAAAAAATTGACACACTCAGGAGGAGAGCACATATGAGAGAACCCAAAAACCTATACTTTCAAACAGAATAACTGTGTTCATGTACAGTGAAACCAGAAGTCTTAAAACTGGTGCCGGAAATTGCTTTCAAAGTTTGAATGAGGAACTTGAAGATTGAGTACAGCACCAAGTTTGGGGCATTGCTTGTTGCAATAGGATCGCAAAAATGCTTCCCATTGATATGTTAATTATATTAACAGCATCATTGTTGAGCTGAAAACCAGAAATATGCAATAAGGAGAATGATCAAATAAAAAGAAAAAATACCAACAAATCGATGAATACTTGCCCATTGAAATCCTTCTTTCTCCTGGAATGTGGCACCTATCAGACTTTCACCTAAGTTGGCTATCTGGGAGGCCACTACACAGATAACTGCCTCAGGTTTATTTACCTGTATATAAAGCGAACGTCTTTGTCAGAGCTTGAAACACAATACACTTGCATCCATCTTCAACCTCATAAAGGAAATAATACACAGATTATGCTAGAACGCCGGCATGGGATATACCATGGTCCATGTTATCCATGAAATTATCTAAGCATTCCTACATGAATAAATATGTAAACTTAAAGAAATGTAGATTTTTATCTCACTGGAATAACGTACACCGTGACTGTAGATCAGATTTTCATCTCACTGGAATATGGAATGTGTTTGGTCATCAAGCAACGTAGGTAGGCGGTAACCCTAAACCCCCATAGAACATAGGGATTGAATTACCAGCCAACGGGCAAATTCTGAATCCAGTCCTTGTTTAGGAGGACATGTTGACCAATGACCAGCATAGTTTGTAAGGCGCCAAGGCGAGGCGAGGCGCCAATGTATCTTCATATCGCCTAGGCGATAACTAAGCGACAAAGTGTGTATATATATATATATATATATATATATATATACATACATATATATATGTGTGTGTGTGTGTGTGTGTCTATGAAAGAAATAAGTTTGGTTCTGGTGAGAATGCGATCTTATGAAAAAAATAAGAATGAATATGGTGCTTCAGATTGTGAGATTTATGGCAGGATTGCATCAAAATTAGGTGCACCAAAATGGTTTGAAAATGCATCACGTCGAAATACATCATAATCCTTTGAAAATGCACTATCTCAAAATCTGAGCGCAGGATGCAATCTGAGACCTATATATATATATATATACACACACACACACACACACATTTTAAGGAAAGCTTGATCAAGACAAAGAAGACCGAGAGAGAGAGAAGATAAGTTTAAGGGGGTGTATTCAATTGGGAGTCTGCAGAATTTTTTTGGACTTTCAAAATTTGAGGGTATTCAATCTAGATTTCCAAAAATCTTTAAAAATTCCGAGGTATTCAATAAAGATTTTAAAAAGTCTTAAAAAATCTTAGGTATTCAACAGTCAATGATTTTTAATACTCCATAGATTTTGCTGGTCCCAAAATAATGCTTATCTCAAATCCCTTCTAAAGACATCAGATTTCCATGGATTTTGCAGCGGGGAGCCTGGAATTGTGAGAATACCCTGCTCCTTCTCCTCCCCTGCTTGAAGACGCTTTCCTCCAAACCCTTCTCCTGCCCTGCTCCATCATCTTCTCCTCATCCCCCCATGTCACCGCCTCCACTCCTCCGGCGAGCACCACCTGCGGCGGGACGCTGTACGGGCACTTTGACCTCCACGAGTTTTCCGGGCGCTCAGAGCCGGCGTAGAGGTTCCTGAGGAAGAAGGAGAGGGCCCACTTGGGGTGGATGGGGGGCTTGGGGCAGAGGAGTGGCAGGTAGTGCCAGTTGAGGTAGCAGGGGACTTGGGCGGCGCTGAAGTACTGAGTGGAGCGGTGGCGGCGACGGCGCAGGGCTGGTTATGATGTGGGTTAGGGCATGGAGTCTTTGCTCCCAATTCATGTCCTCCATTAATGGTCTTGTTTCTTTCTTCTTCCTCCGTCTTCTCAAATTTTGCAGCTGCCCTGGCCGGATCGGAGTCTTTGCTGGCATGGAGTCTTTGCTCCCAATCTACATGCCGGATTGCGAGAAGGGAATGCACCTCAAAATTTCCAATAGAAATCCATGGAGTCTATGAAATCTATCTTAAATCAATAGAAAAGTTGGACAAACTCTACATGGAATCTATTCATTTTCCAAATTCACTAACTTTTTAGAGTCTAAAAAAATCCAATACAATCTCAATTGAATACACCCCCCTAAGTCTATTAGGCTACACTAAAAGAAAATGGGCTGCACTAAAAAATGGGGTTTTTCAAAATTTTAAATGGGCCCAAGGCATCAAGGCGAGGAAAGGCGACGCCTAGGCGAGCGCCTGGTCGCCTTAAGGTTTTCTAGGCGAGGCGAGCAAACAAGGCGTCCCAGTGACAGCGCCTTATCGCCTAGGCAACGCCTTACAAACTATGATGACCAGTCTAGTCCTAAATTTCCTAGAGGCAGGTATACCAAATCAATCTGCTAAATCAAGTCTTTCCCCTTCCCCCAATTTAGACTCTTAACCTGTTTTTCATACCTGGCCCATCATACAAGCAACAACAGCAAGAAGAACTGAAGCACATAATCCAGCAAAGGTTCCTTCAGCACTCACACCCCCTTCTGTTCCTCTTGGAACTACCCTAAAAGTTGAAATAAGGTACCTGCAATTTCAGTGCCAAGTCATTTTCATAGAATAAGAACTCTTTCTTATTACTCCCTCCCTCCGTCCCTAAATAAAGTTCATGCATTTAATTGGTCCTTCATTGAATAAAGTATTATGGAGTATATCTTTATTTGGTAAAATTAAAAGGTTTACTTTACATAACCACTCTTATTTAATATCTCCATATACCACTATTAATTACTCCCAAGTCCCAACCACACATTACACGGGCAAACTTGGATCTCAAAAGCAAAACTTGTGATTCATTAAAAATTACTCAAATCAAAATAGGAACTGCTGTTCAGTATGGATGGAATAAATGAGTAATCAGTCTTTGTTGTTACTTCTTCATATGTGCAATCACGCGTTAGTAAAGCATCATAAAGACATAAATAAGGAGTGTATGCATAATATAGTCATGAAACTGCTAGTATATGAATGTGGTCAAGGGTGGACAGTTAGTACTGACGTGGTTTTACCATAAGCCTTCCCTATCTCACTTGCGACAGTATCGCTCAACTTAGTGCAGAAACTGGCGACAAATCCAATGTCCCATAACCGGGATGATGTAGCCCCACCAATCCCGTTAATCGTCAGGAAAGCACAAAGGCAACCAGCCGAACTGGAACCAATCACACTCCCCGGCCCTCTCCTTCCTTTTCTCTTCTCTGCAACACCCTGAGCTTCCTTCTCAGCCATTTTCACTTTAGTCACTCCTGTTCCCTGATGAACTTACATTTTCTCAAACCACATTCCTCAATTCAAGTAAATTGCAGCACAAAGGTCCAATTAGCTTATGCATTCTTCCTAACAGCGTTCTCTAAATCTCTAATTTTTCCTCAAGTTGAAAATTGACAGATGAGTATCTTAATCAACAGTTCCTAGATTCCTAGAATGTATTCATATATACTCCTAATAGTTACTCATTAATACAAATCAGAAAAGCAGAAAGCAAAAAGGTGTCAAGTAAAGAGCGTAAAGACGGCAATTTAAAATTAAGAAAGAAGGGCTAAGAAAGATTTATTAATTTTGAGCTTACAATTACGAAATAAGTTGCTACAAGAAAAAAGCCAGAGGGTCCAAAAGCGCGCCAAATGAGAACTCCGAGCAAAAAGGCCGCCGCAATGCCTGAAAGAGACAGTCCAGAAACCAGAATTGGTGTGGCCATAAAGATGATGATGATGTTGCTGAGAATGGCAGACTGCCACGTTGGCGGTGAAGCTTGGACTAGCTGCATCGCTCTCTGTAACAATCCCAGATCGATCGGCGTACCTTGGTCCATGATATTCGTGGGCGCCCAGAGAATTTAGAGAATTGCCAAGTCGCTAGGGTTTGAGCGGGAGGAAAATGGGAGAGATTCGGCCATTCAGGATTCAGAAGAGAGAATTGATCGATTGCGTGCAGCGTGAGAATTCAAAAAGCAAAGAAAAAGAAAGAAAAATGCTAGGTACACCCAATTGTACCCCAAATGTCTTCCATCCCCTCCTTGTATACAATAATTGGCAAGAAATTCAAAAAATAAATAAATAAAAAAAAATTAAATAAAGATGTGTGGTGGGGAAGCATATGTGGTGTACATTTGGAGTACACCTTTGGTGTACCCCTAGCATTGCTCAAAAAGAAAATGAGGTGAAAAATACGGAGTAGCTTTTTTCTTTTGTTTGGTTAGATAGGAAAATGAGGAAAAAGGAAAGAAAAAGAAAATACAAAATATAGTTTAAAAAAACAGTCCAGTCATCGTGTAGTAATGGCAAGGCAAGAAAATGAAATGCTACAAGTTGACGTGGAACATTTTAACCAATAAAAAAGTAAAAAACAGTCCAGTCATTGTATGGCAAGAGCGTGGAGTGACATGCACTGCAGTGGCAAGTCATAATCTTTGTCATTTTTTTACATTTTTATGTATTTAATTATTAAAATTTATTTTATTTAATTTTTTCACAAAAAGAATTCTACTTTGTTCATACTCTCTCCGTTCCAAAAAATGTCGTAGTTACTATTTTAGATTTTTGATAACATTTTTTGTGCTTCCCTTTTTCACGGTATATTTAATAAATTAAATTATTCTTATCGCTGCTTATTTTGTAAAAATTTTGATATAATTTTTAAATACTGTTCAATTTATAATTTTTATTTTCTTACTAATTTGTATATATAGAATTAATTTAAAAAAGATAATATCACATTAATCAAAAGAGAACAAATATTTTGGGATTAAGGGATGAATGCAAAAAAAGAGAAAAATAAAAAAATGGATGCCTTTGCCTCGCACATGGTTTGGAATCCATGTAATATTTCATTTGCCACGCAAAACAAGTACAAAAGAGGTTGATGTGGCAAGGCGAGGCATGGGAAAGCCTCGCCGCTGCTTGCGCTCTTAGATGGGATATAGTACCAATTTTGATTTTGACGAGATTATTCTACTTGGAATTTTAGATGAGCAAGCAGTTGCCACGAGCGGTCGCCCAATTGACTACACCAAGGGTGGCGAAGGGGATATATTACCGATTTTGATTTTGCCATCGTCTCAATATGTCAAGCATATTGTCTTTGTAAATATTAGTCTTTCCGTCTAAATTTAAATTTTACACAAATTATTTATTATTCACAGCATCAAAATTTAATATGGTCAGACAGCTTTGCTGGGAAGAAAAACAGATATGTACTCCTCACTCTGTTTATTGACATTGGACACATTTTCTCCATACTCTCCACAAAGTTTTTGTTCCTTGTTGTTGCTGAACTTCCAACGTTGTAATCCAACACATCCTGCAATTTTAAGCTTAAAAAATCATTATATTTATTTAGAAAAACTACTCTCTCGCTTGTGATTTTATTTTAACATACACAAATTTTCGTTGGGAAGTACACTCTGGCTCCTAAGTCATTGTTTTTGAATATCTCTTTGTGGGTAAGAATATCAGTCCGTAAATCTATGATTTCAAAAGAAATCATTGAGTTCAGCTTCAAGCTTTGTAAGTGCCCTTTCTTGATTGCTCTGTCACCTTCCTTGTATAATACATTGCTGATACAAATAAGAAATCATAAGTATACCATGTCATCAAGAATGAGTTCAAATTCAACACCAATACATATCAAAATGAGTTTTAATGTACGGATGAATGAACATAAAAACATACCATAATGAGTGTTACACCAAAAAATAGTAGTAGTATGCACATAATGAAAGTCGGTTTACACCCTAAGAGGGGGTGAATTAGGATGTTTGTAAGTTTTTCGCAAAAACTAAAAATTATGCGCAAAGTAGTAGCGGAAAAAGAGCAAGAAAAATATAAAAGATAAAAATACGACACAAGCGATTTTATACTGGTTCGGGAACTCCTTACTCCAGTACATTGAGGCTCCTCCTCAAGGATTTAACCTCCACTAACTTGTTTGGCTTCACTAAGAAGACTCAAACGAGGTTTGGCAAATAACCCTTGCCAATAAGCAAATGAGATTTTACTACGGCTATCTCAACCGTTTACAACCGAAGATTTTAAGGCTATTTTCAACCTTACAATGAGGATTTAAAAGCTTTCCACACGTTTTACAAATTGATAAAAGATTGGTGTTGCTTCTCTACCAAAATAATAGCAAATGTAAATAAGAAATCACCCTACGTAGCACTCTAACTCATCTAATACTACGCATTTAGCACTGCTTATTGTTTTTTACCAAATTAGCTATTTTTGTTATCAATCTCTTCCAATCATACCCTTTATGTTGTCAATCTCTTTTATCTGTCCCACTATCATTTCAATTCTCTTTTAGCTCCTATATCAAATTCGGACTCACATAATGTTAACTTTGTGCATAGTGGCATAGTACTCTTTTTTATCAAATTCTTTCTTCAATCAATTAAATGTAGTTTTGAATAAATATATATAATAAAAATACGATATATCAAAATTATATCATAAAAAAATGTCAATTATAAATACTTCCTTCATCCCAAAATAGGACTCTTATTCAATTTATGATGTTTGATTGAAGTTATTTTCAAATCAATATAAGTAAAAATTGGTGTATAATTAAAAAATAGGAATTATATATTAAAAAAACTACATAAAAAATCTATAAACAAGTGGTGACAATGGGACTTACATATAAAACTACCAATGTTATAAATTATTATTTGACTTTCATATTGTACAAACAGCTTGTGGTTGATTTTATGACAATAGGGTTTTACAATGAAAGAGATTGTTATGAAATGTGTTACTCAATATGGTGGCTATAAATATGGGCAATACAGATTGATCATGTTCTGCAAACACTTTCTGAGAGTGAATTTGTCTTCTATATATAATGTGGCAGACAAGAGTGAAAATATGGCAGTGTATAAATGTTCATGGCCTAAACAAATTTGTATGTACTTCATTAACTTCCATTAATAATATGGTAGTGAAATTAGACATACATATAAAGCTGCCAATGTTATGAATTATGAATTGAGTTTCATATTGTGCAAAAGTCATGTGATTCGTTCTATGACTATTGGGTTTGAACATTCAAGAGTTCGTTATGGAAACGTGTTACTGAATAGAGGCTTATATTTTTTTGACAGTGTGGAATAATCAACTTCTAGCTACACTTTTTGGAAATGTCCTATGACCATGTTTGCCTAGTGTGTTTTGGTCAAATGGGATTTATATATAAAAATCCCAATGTAATAAATTATTTATTGAGTTCCATTGTAAGCGGATACAAAAAAATCACCAAAATGACTAGTTCTTGAATAACTTTAATAAACAAAGTATGAAGTGTAAACTCAAAGATTTTTGGCAGTGTGGAATGCTTGTGATCTAGGTATACTTTTTGGCAGTGTGTTATGTCCTATGTTTTGGCCAGCGTGCTATGTTGCACATTTCTACATAATGTTGCAGTGTATGCTGCTTACAAAGTCTTAAAATTTACAACATAATACCTTCATTATCCATTTCTTTTCAGTACCACATAAATGAAATTCAGCATATGTCTAATACTAGCATCTTCTAACATTATACAAAATCAAGAAAGACCAAAAAAAGCCAAGTCCATGTTTGGGCAGTGTGTTTTGGTGTAATAGATTATTCATGAAATCAGGCATACATTTTTAGACAGTGTGGAATTCATAAATTAAAACAATCATATACATTTTTTGCAGTGTGGAATTCATACATGAAAACCGGGTGGAATTCATACATAAAAAGAGCTATACATTTTTTAGGCAGTGTGAAATTCATACATGAAAATAATCATACACTTTTTGACAGTGTAAAATTTATACATGAAATCACTGCCACATAAATCAATGGACATTACACTACAACATGAAATTAGGAAACACAATAATACAATTACACACTACCGTAAAATATAACAACATATATCTATTCTACACTGGCACATTAAAAACTCACATACAAAAACCACACTGCCCACTACACAATTACGAGTGAACAACCACACTGCCCAAAACAATCATATTTTTTGGCAGTGCATAATGAACATTTGCTGTTTAATTAAAGGACAAAATCGGAATCACAAGTACGAAACATATAGCACTGTTATTTAGAGTTTTTTAAAGCTCTTAGAGTGCTATTTTGGTTTTTCTCCATTGGGTAGGAGAAGAACAAAAGATTAAATCAACAACAACAAAAGCCTATAGGCAAGATGTAAAATAATAAAGCACAAATGCCCTTATGTGTGAGTGTATGAAAAAAATTAAAGCTTTTTACTCAAAAAGAGTACGAAAAATAAGAACAAAGCTTTAGGAACACTCAAGAATAGAGAGAGAGGCTTTAGATTTAATTGGGAAGTTGTTGTGATTAAAATGAGACTTAAAGGAGGTTTATATAGGAGTTTGGAATGTTAAAATTTGAGTTTTTAATGTTAAATGTCGTTAGGAAGTGATTAAGGGTGATTTGAATTTAAATTGGCAATTTGCTAAAGTGCTGCCAATGGATCCAGTACCCTTCACGGTAGGGTCAGTACCGTCTGGTACCTAGGTACCGTGACCACGGTATGGCCTACCGTGTGGGGGTACCGTATAGGCCAAAATAAGCTTTTGCCTCTGGCGGTACCGGGTTAGGACGGGGGTGGCCAGCCGTCTATGCCTCTGGTGCTCATTCTGAAGCATGTCTTTTGACCGAAAGTGTCATCTGATCGAAAGATGTCATCTGACTAGAGTCAATCCCACATATATATATCATATCATCATATATATATATATATATATATATATATGATGATATATATATATATGGGATTGACTTCAGTCAGATGACATCTTTCGATCAGATGACATGCTTCAGAATGAGCACCACCTTGTTTGAGAATGAGCACCGTATTATTTATGAATGAACACTACACTGAGCAGACTGTGAATGAGTACTAGGTTGTTTCAGAATGAGTACTACGTTTATAATGAACAAATGTGTGAAAGTCAACCCTACGATGTCTTAGAATAAACACTACGTGGATTCAAAATGAACCTATGTTGTCGTCTTGCTGGCTATGAATGAACACTACATTGTGATGAATAGTTGTAGGAGAATGAATTCTATGTTGTTTAAGAATGAGCGCTACATTGATTCAGAATGAGCATTCGTTGTCATCTGACCGAAAGTGTCATCTGACCGAAACATGTCAACTGACTGGAGTCAATCTCTATATATATATATATATAATGGGATTGACTCCAGTGAGATGACACCTTACGGTGAGATGACATGCTTCGGTCAGATGACACAAAGCTCACCACTGGTCACTGCAAAGCTCACCAAAGACAACTACAAATCTTACCAAAGTGTAAGGCAAAGCTCATCATATTTTTTATTTCAACACTTTGAATTTTTTTCCCAAAAAAAAAAATCAAAGGAAAGGGTGCTGACTGGACTTTGACTGCATTGACCGCCGCCTGCCACCGGCCGCCGCCGTCCGCCAGCCGCCGGAAACCGGTCACCGCCGCCGCCGGTCGCCGGTCACCAGTCACCGCCGCTGCCAGTCGCCGGAATCCGGTCACAGCCGCCGCCGGTCGCCGGACTCCGGCCGCCGCACCCGGGCTCCGGCCGCCCTTGACCAGTGGTTGACCGGTGTTGTTATTTTATTTTTAATTAATTTTTTTAATTTTTAAAATTTAAAAAAATAAGTGAGTTTTGGAGTTCAAAGTGGTGAGCTTTGCTTTATTTCCAAGTGAGCTTTGCATTGTCCATTGGTGAGCTTTGTAGTGTAGTGTGGTGAGCTTTGCTTTATTAGCTTTTTTTGAGTAAATTCCATAATTGGTTCTTTATAATATAGGGGTTTCCATATTTAGTCCTCTATTATCAAATATTCCCCCCGTAGTCCTTTTTTTAAGGGTACCTTTCCACAAATGGTCCTTTTTTTGATCTTTTGCCGTGTTGGTGTTAATTTAAAGGCTAAAAGTATAATTTGACGTCAACATTATGTCTAGTGACGTGTTCTGATATTCGTTAAGCGGATAATACAAAAATAATGACTATGATTGTGGGCTAGGATTCTGACGAAAGATCACATTTGTAGACTATAGTTGTCGTAAAAAACGGCTGTAATTCACAAACGACGCAAACGGAACAGCCTTTGGAATTGTGTATGACAAAAAATATATATTGTCATTGTGAAATTACACATTTAGCCCTTAAATTAACACCAACATGATAGAAGATCAAAAAAAGACTATTTGTGGAAAGGTACCCATAAAAAAAGGACCACTTGGGTAATATTTGATAATAGAGGACTAAATAGGGAAACCCCCTTGTTATAAAGGACCAATTATAGAATTTACTCTTTTTTTAAAAAAAAAGTGATGAGCTTTGCATTGTTCCTTGGTGAGCTTTCCATTGACAATTGGTGAGCTTTGCATTGATAGTTGGTGAGCTTTACACTTTGACCGCCCATGACCAATGGCCACCACCGATGACTCCCACTGTTGCCGTGGACCAGTGGTTGAGCGGTGGTGTTATTTTTTTAACTTTTTTTTATTTAAAAAAAGTGGTGAGCTTTGCATTGACAGTTGGTGAGCTTTGCATTGGTAGTTGGTGAGCTTTGCATTGGCAGTTGGTAAGCTTTGCATTGGCAGTGTTGTGTGTTGTGTCATCTCATTGAAGCATGTCATCTTACCATAAGGTGTCATCTCACTGGAGTCAATCCAATATATAATATATATATATATATATATATATATATATATATATGTATGTATATATATATATATGTATGTATGTATGTATATATATATATTTTTTTTGAATGAAAACTATTTTTCTTTCTTTGAACCAAATATAGTGTTAAAGAACTAACTACACTAGCCTATATCCACAGCAAAACAACACAATAACATTGCTGGAGCACAAATGTACACACATCCTCGCTTAGTTGGCTTTTGGTATGATCGTCATTGCTTGTTCGATGGCGTTTCACATATATATTCCAAAGGATACTTTAAGGGGCTAACTATTAAAGCGGTTTTAGTGCATTTCCCCAAGAGACCTAAGGGTGCGGCGCCCAGTAATAGTACTAGTGTCCTACATATACATATTGGCATACGCCACATGTCAAAAGAAAAGCATGATAAAAGTTTCTTTTGCACATATACCAGGTTCAGCTTCATATGGATTCCCATCAAATAGCCTATATGAAATCTGAACCACCGCCAAAGTGCTCCAAGTCCGGATGATTCCTTCCGCTTCCCGGCCTAGTCGGATCCCTGATAAAACGATTTGGTTCAAAACCAGGAACACCCGGGGGACCAAACGGATCAAAACGAGCACCAGGTGGAACACCCTGCAGTCCCCCAGGAAGACCAGTATCACCGCCTATCCCTGGGAAAAAACGAGCATCTCTGGGTCCTACAAGCATGCCTCCAAAGCCTCCTGTATCTCTGGTTGGGTAAACTCCAGCACCAGGTGCAGGAATAGTATCACTGCCACTAAAAGCAGGAATTGGAGGAACAACATATCCTTGAGGAAAAGAACGAGAAGGCTGATATGAGCCCACAGATTCGGCACCAAGCCCATCAGCATCATGTCGGATAACTCCTTTTTCAGAACTTGATGGTTGAGTGGACGAATTTCCTCCTGAAGAGCCATTGTATTTACCCACAATTTTCTTAGTAATTTCTTCAAAAAGCTTGCCAAAATTCTTATACTGGGAGTTATAATTGGTCCCTCCATTTTCAACAAATTCCTGAGAATCCAGTTCAATATGGTGGCCCTCATTATCGTCTTCCCCCAATGCATCAACCAAGAGTTTATCATTCACAACAAGGCACTTAACTAACACCTTCTTTGAATTTCTATCTGGGTGTGAATAGATAAAGGCATATTTGTCCTCAAAGTCGTTCCAGTGATCGATTCCCACCTCATCGCCGTGGGATGAAGAGAAGGGATCATCGGTGAAGGCAGGAGCGCCGGTGGCGAGGAGAACAAAACCAGAAGCAACAAAGGAAGCATGGACGGCGAAGGCCAGTTTATCGTGGGGGTTTCGGAAGCTGGGCCTCGATGCCCTAATCATCATCATCGCTATGTTGCTATTCGTTTCCATGGGAAAAAATTTCGCGATTCCGGTGCCGGAATAATTCCCTATATTCTCTTAGCGTCGTCAAAACCTCAGTACCTCACCGATCGACCGAACAATGGAAACAAATGTATGTATATATATATATATACATATCATCATGGCCATATTTTTAGAGCGAGAAAGCTCCGGCGAATTCAGGGATCGTCGTCGCCATTTCAATCTTCGTCCGGGTTATCAACGGCCAATCCATGGATTCAGGACACAGATGTTTCTCCCCGGCATCGTCAACTTTATCCCAATTCATACAACAGATCTGGTTTCATCAATAGAGTCAGCACCCAAAGCGCATATCCCAACCACAGAACCTCAAAGCTTCGCTGTCGAGACTATAGATGGCCATTCAAATCCCCCGAGGTAAGTGCCTTGAAGAATTCATACGTTCTTTCAGAACGGAGAATAATCGTACAGGGTCAGAGTGAGAACACCCCTCCATGGCCTAGCAAGAACATTAGATTCAAATTCAGAATTCTTAATAAGGTATTTGAGCTATATTACTCTGTCTACAATAAGGTCTTCAGTATTACTGATAGGGGGAGAAGAAACTTCCATTTGTGGCGTGTTAATTTTTTTCCCATATACTAAAGTATGATGTGTCGTCCTACTTGGCTTTTACTACGGAGTATTTTAATACGCCCTCCTAGGTGTCCTCCTACTTGGCTTTTAGTAATCCTACTTGGCTTTTAGTAAATTACAAAAGAAATCACCCTACATAGCACTCTAACTCACCCTAAATTACGCATCTAGCACTACTCATTGTTTTTAACAAATTTAGCACTTTTTGGGGTCAATCCTTTCCTATCATGCCCTTTAACCTTTTTTCTTTTTCTCATTAAAAATTACGGCACTCCCTAGGCCGCACGTACTCTTCTTGCGCTCGGCCGCACGTTCTCCTTCAGTCGCCCGCCATCATGCGTCCTCAGGCCTTCTCCCACGATCTGGGCCGATCAGCAGCGGCAATCATCAGGTTATCTCCGCCTCCTTCATCGATGTGGCTAATCATTTTCTCTTCTCCTTCAATTTTTAATTTTCATTCCTTCATCCCTTTTCCATGTATTTTTAGTTTTAATTATTGTGTTTTATTCGTACTGAAGATTAGGTGGTGTGAAATCAATTTTGAAATACCTAGTATTTGTTCCTTTTGAAAAATTAGGTCTTTTGAAAGGCNTTTGCATGTCAAAAAATTAAAAAATAAATTTACCTAAAATAATCCCACCTTTCATTTATTTTCTAAAAATATGTATTTTCAAAAAATCCTGTTTAGTGGCCTTAGTTTTTTAACGGCGGCCCAAAACTTGCACACATGCAGAAAGGTGAGATTAATTTGTATTTGTTTAATATTCTGAAGTTTGCAATGTGACTAAAATGCCTATCATGTATATATATACGATGTGTTTTTGTATTCACCACCTGCATTAAATCCAGCATTTTCATCGCATATTAGGTTATACGTCTATTCTTTGAGTTCATTCCTTTATTTAATTTAATTGAATATGTTCTCTTTTATTATTTAAAAGGAGCATCACAGATGGGTCCAAATTTGACGATATTGCTACGTGTTGATGGGACATGGGATACTCATGGAAGCTTTATATTGTGGCAGTGTAGATATATTCTGGCAGTGTAGATATATTGTGGCAGTGTATATATTGTGGCATTATATTTCAGACATTGAATTTTTGGCGGTGCATATATTGTGGCAGTGTATTTCAGACATTGAATTTTTGGAAGTACATATTGTGGCTAACATTATGGCAATGTATATATTGTGGCAGTGTAGATATATTGTGGCAGTGTATTATATTATATCTATTCTCTTAATCTCTGAGTAATTTTTCTCTCATTTTACAACACGTTATCAGCATGAATTTGCTCAAAAATCTCAGAATCCTTGTTCTTCTCAGAAGGTATATTTATTTAATTTTCTTCATAAACAAACTAAAATATTTTCTTAGAAACTATAAGAAGTATGCTCTGTGATTGCCCGAATTGTGGCAGTATAGATATATTGTGGCAGTGTATATATTGTGGCATTGTATTTCAGATATTGAATTTTTGACAGTGCATATATTGTGGCAGTGTATTTCAAACATTGAATTTTTGGAAGTACATATTGTGGCTAACATTATGGCAGTGTATATATTGTGGCAGAGTAGATATATTGTGGCAGTGTATATACTGTGGCAGTGTATATATAATACAAATTTGTTTAATTAAGGGTAATATTGAGAATTCATCTCAAAAACTTATAGCACTGCTATTTTGCGTATTTTAAGCCTATTAAAGTGCTATATTCGTATTTCTCCCAAATTACAATGACCTGGCCTCTCCTACTCGAGAAGGTATATATGGTACATCCAGATGTACATAGAAATAGGTACATCCGGGTAGTATTTATTGTGAAGTAAAGTAGTATTCATTTTCGCACAAACATAAGTATTCATTTTGAAAATGTAGTACTCATTCTAAAATAACGTAGTACTCATTTTAAAATAATGTAGTGCTCTTATTCACACATTTATTCAATACAGTTATAATATTTATTTACAAATAAGTAGTGTTCATTCTGAGTAAAAATGGTACTCATTCTCAAATAAATTAATGTTCATTCCAAAATAAAATAAAACACATAGTAGTATGGAATAACCTTCCTTCTCCGCAATCTCCTCCATCTACACAGCACAGCGGCTTTTTTTGAGACCCGACCCGCTTTAACGCCGCCGCCACCTTCCTTCTCCACCGCCGCTTTTCTCCAGATTTTCGCCACCATCCTCTTCGTCATCTTCGCTACTCCATCGTTTTTCGTCTTCGCTGCTCCTCGTCATCACCGCCGCCACCTTCCGTCTTTCTTCTCCGGTGACCCGACCCGACAAATAGAGGAGACGCAGTAATTTCGGCAGCTTCCTTTCCATCTCATTCCTTCTTCAATTAGCCGGTTGTACCGAAAATTAGGCACAACCGGATGTACTAGATAATTTGCGATCCTACTCTATTCCCATCGGTGGTGATTAAAAAAAACGCATCGCCGGTTAGCCGAGGATTTCTGCCGCTTCACCAGTTAGGGATGCCGGTTAATTCAGTGCAAACATCGCCGGTACAATTCGCCGGGAAGGAACGCCTGTTGGGCTTGCTACCGCCGGTAGGACCTGCAGTGAAGGCTTCTCAAAACTTCGCCGTTTCAAGAGTCTTTTGGGTTGTCTGAAACAGGTGACTTTAATTTATTAAGCATTCAATTCGCGGTATTCATAATAGTTTACAAGTGAAACGGAAATGGTTTGAGGTCCCTATGAATTATTAGGATGTGTAATGATAAAAAATTAAATACTAGGGAGTGGGAAAGATTTAAGAAATTAATCCATGTTAGCATTCTTGAAGTTCAATTCAGCCGTATATATATGTGTATCTATCCATACCAGCATCACATACAAACTTTTGAGATCTATTTGCGTTATCTGTGAGAAGTATCATTCTATCAGTATGTCTATGGCTAGAGCTATTCGCAGGGAAAAGAGTGTTAATTATGTTCCACTCCAGAAACTTACCCAACCTCTCGGGAATTCTGCTATTTTGGTGCAGGTTTCTAGACTTTGGGACGTGTACAACCTGAAGAACAATACAGAACTTCTTAGTACTGACATGGTTTTGATTGATCAAGAGGTATCTTCCCCCTGCAATTAGGGTTTGATAGTGTGTGTTCCATAATCAATTTTCCATTTTTTATATTTCAAATAACCTTTTGCTTTTATGCATTAGGGATCATATATCCATGGCAGCATCAAAGGCAATTTAGTCCATTTGTTTCGTGATGTGATTGTTGAGGGTGAAATATATTCTATTGCAAATTTTGAAATCGTTGATAACAGAACCCGTTTTCGTGTGGTGGGAGACAACAAACACATGATTCAGATTAATGCAGAGTCGACTGTTAGGCCTGCACCGGGACAATTGCCTAACATTGCAATGCACCGTTTTGATTTATTAGATTTTGATAAAGTTCCCATGAGAAAAGGGCTAGACTACATCCTTACAGGTAATTTATTTGTAAAACAGGATTCCTATTCTTTACACACTTTAATACATTAAACTTTCCCCTGTGGTGATTGCAAAAAATGTGCATTTGTTTGTATAGATGTTGTGGGACAAGTTTGCAGTGAGGGAGAGGTGACGAATAAGAATGTGTATGACCGTACTGTGAAAAGTCTCATGCTAGAATTGCAGGATTTGAGGTTTCTTTTCAATATTTAAATACTTGCTTTTTGTTGTTGTTAATAACTACCTTAGTAATCTGTGATAATGATTCAGCTCCTTATTTTTAAAATTGTTTAGAGGTGCAAAAATGAGAATAACACTTTGGGGCAAAACTGTTGACGAGTATACTACCCAAAAAGCTACAATTCTGGGATCTGTTATTGTTGGGGTGTTCACATCAAATCTGGTGAAAGAATATATGAGTAAGTTGCAATTCGATAATGATGTATGTGTGGATTTCTTTCTATTGAAATTTGTGTTATTACTTATTGCCAATGCAGAGACCACTACATTGTCTTCAACAACTGCTACTAAGGTGTTCTTAGATGTCGGCATTGACGAAGTTGCTGCACTAAAAACTAAGTGTAGGTATTCTAAACTTTTTTGTATGCATGTGTGCTTAAATGAAGTAGTAGTCTGACCTTTGTACTTGAGTGGGTGAATTATTCTAATATTAAAAAACCAGTGACCAGTGACCGGCATCCCTAACTTTTTTGTATGCATGTGTGTTTTTTTACTGTTTTATACAACCAGTGACCAGTGCAGAATTGAACGACTATTGGTCCAGAAGCCTATTGTAGATCGTGACACAGTTCTTTCTGGGTTGAAGACCATTGCGGAGCTTTTAAATATTGCGTCAGGCGACTTTAAAAACGTAGGCAGATGATATTTTATTATTAAGATGTGTTCACATATTTTTTTTCCCTCAACTAATTTTGTGGTTTTATTGTACGCGAATATTTGAAAAAACTTTAGGGTGCACAACATTACTGCCATGCACTGATAGAAGACATAAGCAACAAGAATAGTTGGTATTATAACTCATGCGGAGAATGCAAGGGAATAGTTAAGCCAAGTGGAACAAAGTTTTGGTGCAAAAAACAATCTAAATTAGTGGATGACTCCGTAACCAGGTATGATATTCAAGCTTAACTACTTTTATGAAATAAGCAAAGGGGAAAAAACTCTATAACTCATTTACAGATTATCCATTTAAAAGTTTTTTCCCTAATGATGTATATTCTCATACCAAAACGCAGGTATCGACTTGAAGCTTTGGTTAAGGATAAAACCGAGGTTACAAAATTTATTATCTTTGATGACGAAGCTGAAAAGCTAATAGGCCAATCTGCTATTAACCTGTATGATATGGAAGATAAACTTGAGGTATTAATATCAAATATAAAACTTTTGATTACAATTTGAAAGGAAAATTATATGTACTCACATCCTCACATTCAGCTAATACTTAACATCTATAACTTCCCAGGATGAAGATTCACAAGGCCAGTTACCTGCATTGATTGGAAATCTGATTGGACAGACGTTTGTGTTTCATGTCAGACTCACTGAATACAACAGAACAGCATATACGCAGAGTTTCGGAGCATCTAAAGTACACAATGAATCTATACTTGGCGCAACGGAAAATAAAGAGGTAGTTAGCTATTACATTTAAATACATCCTATTTGTTGTTTTCATACACCATATGATTCAAACAACACATTTCATATATTCCTATGAAGTCTCATAAATTTAAATACAATACTATGCTATTAATATAGACACCTGATCATGCCTCTACAAGTACCACATCCAGTTCACCCGTCACACCAGTCACACAAGAGAATTCCAATAAAAGGAGGCGTTTAAGGTTTCATGTCTCTTAATGAATGTAACATGTCATTTCAAATCCATGATGTTTTCTCAAATTTAATTATTCAACTTTGTCCCAGTGTGAACACCCATGCTGCTATTCAGGCACCTTGAAGCAACCAGATGCAGCATTATCAGGCAGTGGAATTTTGCTAGCTATAATGGAATAACGTTTCTTCGAATAAAGTTTAAGTCTGTCATCAGTATTTCACATGGTTGTTAAGTCGGCAAGTCGAGTCGAGTCGGTGACGGGGAGATTAGTGGACTAGGCGACTAGTCGTAGACTAGTCGACAAATCACAATTAGTATTGAAATTTTTAACATTATATATATTTGCATTAACCCAACATGAAATTGAAATATTAAATTGAAAAAAAACTGAAATATTAAACTGAAAAAAAAAACTGAAATACTAAAATACTAGAATAAGAAAAAAAATTAAAATATTAACTGAAATTAGAAAAAAACTGAAATATTAAAAAAATAAAAGAAAACTGAAAATTTTAAAGTATATTATGCTCCCTCCGTCCATGTATGATCTTCTCATTACGCGTTACGAGGCTTGACCGACTTTATTTTCAATTCAATTTAATTAATTATAGGAGTAAAATTTTAAAATAAAATTTATATAGTAATAAACTACATGAAAAGTTCTACAAAACTAGAGGTGACAAGGCTATATTATTTTATGAAATGACTAGTAAAATTGAGTAACCAAATCAATGAAAATTAAATCTTACACTTTATAGTTTAAGATTTCTCATAATTTTTTTCTTATTCTAGTATTTTAGTACAAAACCAAAAAAAATTGAAAAATTAAACTGAAAAAAACTGAAATACTAAAATACTATAGGAAGAAAAAAATTGAAAGAAATCTTAAACTGAAAAATTAAAAGAAATACTTTAATGATAACAAAGTAAAAGAAATCTTACCCATAGATGGAGAGTCGCTGATGGAGGCAGATGGAGGAGAATCGCTGATGGAGGAGAGTCGCAGGAGGCCTTGAAGTCGCGGAAGTCACGCTGGAACTGGAAGACTAGCGCGACTCGATTGTGGATGGTTTGCGCCGAAGGAGGCAGCGTTTTTAAAAAAAAAATTTAAAATTAATGAAATTTGGGTCGGGTCGGGTCGGGTCAATTGGATTAGGTCAAATTCTGCCGATTTCTTTCTCCGATTAGGCGTCGCCTAATCGCGGCTAAGCGTCGCTTTGCGCGCTTAATAGCCTAGTCGGCCATAGTCGCTAGTCGCACAACAAATCCCCATCGCAAAACCGCCAGGACGACTAGTCGGCGACTAGTCGTGGCCTAGGCGACGACTTGACAACCATGGTATTTCAATTCCCACGTGGTATTAGAGACTACGTTTAGAATCATATATTTAATTGCAAAGTCAAGACTCTATGTACTTTTGGTTTCCTACAAATTTCATGATTGGAATAAATCATTTTGATATTCGGGTTTACTATTAAACCTAAACCATTTTTCACACGTGTGTTGATTAGTATGTTTGCTCACATGAATGGCCAATTCATTAATGTTTACTATGTTCCTATGTTTAAGTAATCAAAGAGTTACACACCCAGGTCATGACTGTTTGCGTATGACAATTTGATATAAATGTATAACATATAGTTTGAAGAGGATACATAAACAAGGTAACCACTTATTAATCCCATCATTGTAGAACGTAATTATAATTTCAGTTGTAAATATACACACCTATATACACACCTTAGGTCACAAACATTATAAGAACACATAGACGTATCCCATTCATTGAATACATGAAAAAAGAAAACAACATTCAATCAAAAAAGTCATCGTTTAATCCATGCATATGTTATACATGAAGTTGCCAACTAACCCAAAACTCCCAGACACTTTGTTATACATGTAAACTGGCACTACACACATGACAATTCCTTTTAATTCATGTAGTGGTAACACAACATGTGGATAATTCAGAACAATATCCATTACAAAATAAAATATGAAACCCTTAATCGGGTGAGATTAAGGGTACGAAGTAGTCAGCGGTTCCTTCAACTTAATTCTTCTGTTGTTTTTCTCTTTTAAAACCAAAAAAAGTAAATTTCTTACATGGGAAGTCATGAATTGGTATGCATTGACCACAATTAGTGCACGTTCCAGATGTACCATGTTCAGTGACAATTACACCAACATTTGTTTGAACGTTCTATACGTTTCACGTTCACTGGCAATTACACCAATTTTGTTCTTAACCTGATAATGTGTTCAATGGACAGTCTACAGAGGAGGGTGACAGCTTAAAGCCTTATTCTGTTAAAGATTCTATTTTTCATTGTTCTTTTCTTTATTCAAATTGTGTTAAGTAATACTGTGTATACTTTCTTCAGCTATCCAAATAAAGTGGCCATACCACAACAACCTTCAGATACAGGGAAAAAACTAATACATGAAATGCATGTTATTCCTAAGGTGCCTGGTTAGTTTTTTAAAGTTTTATAATAGAGGGTTATGACTAGAGTCACCATGCAGCACCCTAGCAGTATTTGACGGAAATATACTGACTTGGAAGTATCTGGATTGTGTCCACATTTAATCTGGATTGGAAAGATCTTGATTGTTTCCTGTGTCAGTTACTGGTAATTCTTCATGCACGAAGAAATGTGCAGACAGGATTGTTGATTCTTTATATAGGGACATCCATTTAATTAATCATAATGTCATAAATATGCAAACATGTGGAACTTTCAGGCACACAAATTACATATGAGCACCATTTTCCTGGTCAAAACAAGTTCAAGGCTTGAGTACAAGTTATTTGGTTTGTCATCTCATTTCTATTCATTATGAAATTTTAGAGATGCATAAAAATCTTATTCATTAAATTGAAAGTCAAATCTCATTGATCAAATATAGAACAGTTTGAATAAAACCTTGATAGTGTAATGAGACAGTTGTTGCTTTATTACTTTTGGACTGAGTTTATTTCCTGTATGGCTATTTTGTGTGCCATATGTTCAAGTTCCTTACATATGCAAATCCAGACGATTTACAAACTACAGATAGCTGGAACCGAGGTTATACTGGCTTCAGTGGAGAAGAAGCTCTGGGTGGACGCCTTACACAGAGTAAAAAACATAGCCGATACACTTATTTCAGATTGTGCCCATATTGAGTTTGGTATCCTTTCTCTTCCTGTATGTTTCTCATACGGTTCCATTGAATGAAGTGCATTGTCTAAGTTCCGTTTCTGCTTGGTCGTTTGGCCAGCATATGTATTACTCATATTCATATTGGTTACCTATGGATGCATTTTCACAGCCATTATTGTTTTATGTCTATTTTTATATTATATGTGAGCCCCATTGTTAATAGTACTATATACTAATAAGGATGCCACACCTTCAATGTTTTCATGATTTGCAGAAATGCATCCCTGGTGTGGCTACACTCAAAACTGATTAAGTATATGAATCTAAACTGCAGGTTCTGTTTTCAATTGCTGCATGGACGAAACGCCTTCAAATCAGTAATGTGTGTTTTCCTTTTCAATTACTAATTCCTACATGTTAAATGAATTGTGGCTTACAACCTACAATTTATGGAAACCAACTAATTATGGAAGCAATGAAAGGGATTCTAATTGCCCGCAGTCCTGGGTTCAGATTCAGATGCTGAATTCACACTAAGTAGGCATGGGCTGCTGTTTTGATGGCTATACATAGCAATGGTATTTCACTATGAGTTCAGTGTTATTCATAGTGTCATGACTATATGCATTTGTGGGTAGTAGTGTACTTGATGTTTTTTCGTGCTGGATACTTTCTTCGGCATTTGGTGCTGGATTTGGGTTTAATGTTTTCTTTACACGCAAATGATTTTGAGTTCATTTTGGAAAAATTAATTCATCATTGTACAATCTCGAGTGGCAGACTGTAGGTTAATTCTCAGGTTCTACATGTCGTAGTTAGACCTCTACGACATGGCTTCAGTGAGTTCATTGTAGAACCTCAATATTAGATCTTATAACGGTCACAATGTTTATACTTCCATGCAACATTATGAATCATTCATTACCTGATTTAATTGGTTTAATCAAATCAACTCTTTGAGAAAATGGAGTCAATAACAGAAGAACACCCCAGTAACAATTTCATCAGTCAGACACACATATATCCGTATGCACAACCCTCCGGTTAATGTTTTTCTAATAAACACATTGTATACGTGCAGAAATACAAATTTTTAACCTCATGTCTGTGTTCTGCTATACTCACACCTAATCACTTCTATACTCATTCTCTCAGGTCATAAGCTCTTCAAGTACAAAGGACTGGTATTGTCGTTCCTGATAAACATACCATACAAACAACATCTTCACACACTTCAACCTTCCTCACATACTGTAAGTATATAATAACTTCACTACTTTTTATTCACTAATATAATTACTTTAAAACGTCAGTACCATATTCACTATGTTGGTTGGGTCGGGTTTTCATACGCTTTGATTCATTTCACTCATTACCTGTTTCACCTTTTCCCCTGCACTCCATATAAGATGTTCACATAGACATCCTGACAATTCAACTTCTCAAGAGGTAATATATCATTGAATTTGAAACACCTGCTGCATTCATTTTATGTTATAAATGACATTAAATTCGTTCTATTCAATAATTATTACTTTTGAACTTTGTAACTGAAATGCAAAATGAAAACCAAACATTACGTGTAGCAGACCAATGATTCCTCAAAAACCAATTCATTATATTATACTAACAACATCAAACTACACAATTTCAAAACACACAGACCTCATATTTTGCTTATGGAAGAGAACGAACAACATCAACGTATACAAACGGCTACGGAAGCACGCAAGCGGCGGAAACTTATTATTGATCAGAAGAGACAGACCACACTGCCCAGCAACTCAACAGGACATAGAAACACTACCCTCCAAAAAAAACAAGGTGCTACCAAATATGTATACATTCTTTATTTCTAACAGTGCATCATTAAATTTGATACTCTAACCTTCACAAATCAACAGGCCGTCCAAGTGAAGCACCACAAGAAACACACACGACCTCTGAGGAAAGTAAGCATGTATTTCATAAAGTAACAAATCATAATTATCACATGCCTACAAACAATAATTGACACAAAATCATACATGTGCAGGTGGAGAATCAAAATATCTGACTTTGTCCAACCCAACAGAAAGATGCAACCATTGTGATGCCATAATGTGGAAAGAAGAACGCAATAACTCCAGATATCCAAACAGACCCCCAACATTTTCATTGTGCTGCATGGAGGGACGCATCAATCTCGAAGCACTAAAGCATGCCCCGGAATATCTTCGAGACCTGTTAAACTACAGTGGTGGTAAACGATCAAAGACATTCAGAGACAATATCCGTGCCTATAACTCAATGTTTGCATCCACATCCATCGGTGCAGATATTGATTACGAAATCAACAAATCGAAAGGACCCTATGTGTTTCGTATTAGTGGACAAAATTGCCATCAAATCGGATCACTGATGCCTCAAAGTAACAAACCCCATAAATTCCTGCAGTTGTACATGTATGACGACCAGTGTTCAGAAGTACATAGCAGGATGAATTCATTGACAAAAGACAAACCAGAATCTAAACTAGATCCAGACATCGTGGCGGGCATCCTGCGTATGTTAGACAAGGAAAATTGCTTGGCACAAGTTTTCCGTATGGCGAGAGACAGAATTAAAATAGACAAGGAGCAAAACTACCAATTACACCTTCTCTCAGACCGACCACAACGACATAGACAATACAACGCGCCCACTGCATCGGAAATAGCAGCACTTATAGTTGGAGATTTTGGACAAGGGACAGATGGCAGAGATATTATTGTCCAACACAAAGAAAAAGGACTACAGAACATTAGTGAGAGACACCCCAGTTTCATGTCACTGCAATACCCCTCCTTTTCCCATACGGGGAAGATGGCTATCATGAAAAGATACCATACAAACCGAATTCCAGATTGAATGTCAGCCGGCGATTCATGACCATGCGTGAATTTTACGCGTATCGCATACAACAACGCCTCACTGAAGGTATTACACATTTATATGATGGTAGACTATTCCAACAATATGTAGAAGATGCATACACAGCAATTGAAGAGGAGCGTCTAAACTACTTTCGTTCCAAGCAAGACAAATTTCGAACATATATATACAGAAATGTATGTGATGCTGTGAACAAAGGAGACACAATTGCTGCCGCGGTAGGTAAACACACAGTACTGCCATCATCTTTTACAGGAGGGCCACGCTACATGTTTCAAAACTACCAGGATGCCATGGCAATATGCCGGAAATATGGCAACCCGGATCTGTTTATCACTTTCACAGCAAACTCAAACTGGCCAGAAGTTAAACAAATGCTGGAATATATACCTGGACAGAGAGTAGAAGACAGGGCAGATATAGTTTGTCGAGTTTTCAACTTGAAACTGAAACAGTTCATGAAAACCCTCACTAAAGACAATCACTTGGGCCCAACACAAGTAGGTAACTACCATCATTTTACTCTATGTTATTCAATTAACAACTACACACTACAATAACAACACAATACAGATAAACATTTAATCTGAAAACTAACATATTTAAATCCCAACAGATATAGGCACAATAGAGTTCCAAAAACGTGGCCTACCTCATGCTCACATACTATTGTGGTTAACAAAGTCAGAAGCCCACAATGACCCAGCCTTCATCGACAGAACAATATGGAGAATATTTCAATATGATATCCATCAGAGAAGTATCCCAGTATTGTGCCTATATGTTCATTTACCAGGAGAACAACTCTTGACCCTCACAGATGACCAGAACATTGTACAAGCTGTAAATGAAGAAACATCACAAGAAACAATGCTCACCCAGTGGATGAACATTGACAAAACATGCGAAGAGGCACGGCATCTGACCTATGCAGAATTTCCAAGTAAATACGTGTGGAATCGAAACGTAAGAATTTGGGATGAAGCTGCCCAAAAATGGAAAATAACAAAACAATGGACAAAGCGAAAATGAGGAAACTGCGTGGGAAGAATATCATATGTCCACCCCGTTGCTGGAGAACGATACTACCTCCGACTACTTCTCAACTCCAGCAAAGGCCCAACATGTTTTGAAGACATCCGTACAATAAATGGAATTCTACATCCCACATTCAAGGCAGCATGTTACTCACTTGGCCTACTAAATGACGACAAAGAATGGATAAATGCAATACATGAGCCTGACCAGTGGGCAACACCACGACAGTTAAGAGAACTATTTGTAACAATCTTGATATTTTGTGAAGTATCAGACCCCCGGCAATTATGGGAGACAACCAGGCATGCGCTTGAAGAAGATATTTTACGAAATAGAAGAAAAATATATAGGCACCCAGATCTAGAACTCTCACCTGAACAGATCCAAACATACACTCTGTTGGAATTGGACAAAATACTAAACCGCTCTGGAAAATCATTGACAGATTATCCATCGCTCCCCCAGCCAAAATTTACAGAGGTCAGCCACTTTGATAACAGACTAATCCGAGAGGAATTAAGCTATGATACTAAACACCTCACACTTTTGCATGAACAAAGCAAAGCCTCCTTGAACCATGAACAACTCACAGTCTACAACGCAGTGGTGGATGCAGTGCAGAGTGGTAATGGAGGAGTATTCTTCGTGTACGGACATGGCGGAACCGGAAAGACATTCTTATACTCAACTATAGCTGCCAGGCTCAGAAGTCAAAGGAAAATTGTGCTAACAGTGGCATCTTCAGGTATGACAAAAAAATCAACTCCTTTCTCATAAAACACAAATATTCATTCCTATTCACCTTAATAATCATACTAACCAACAGAAATCCCTTAAACTCATACGAATAGCACAAATTACCTATCAACCCAACTATAAACACCACCAAAACACACTTACTAACCCATCCCTTTTTTAACTGCCAAATTTTTAAAATACCAGGAATTGCATCACTGCTCTTACCAGGCGGTCGGACAGTCCACAGCAGATTTGACATCCCGATAGAATTATTTGAGGGCACAACATGTTCCATACGCCAACAATCACAACTAGCCGGCCTACTGACAGCTTGCTCATTAATAATATGGGATGAAGCTCCAATGGCCAACAAGTTCGCATTTGAGGCAGTAGATCGCACACTAAAAGACATTGTCTCTTTTAAGAACAAGTCTGCAACAAACCAGCCATTTGGTGGAAAAACAGTGCTCCTGGGAGGCGACTTCCGTCAGGTACTTCCAGTTGTACCGAAAGGTAAACGACCTGACATTGTTCAAGCGACTTTGAATCCGTCCTACATCTGGGAAAGCTGCACGGTCTACACACTGAAAAAAAGCTTGAGAATCCAAGAGGACATGGGAAATTCCATTGCAAATCAGCATGTAAAACAATTCAACAACTGGTTGTTGAAAATGGGAAATGGAACCCTACCCTCCAAAACCCTTCCAGATGAGGACGAGGCCACATGGATAGAAATCCCAGAACAGCACTACATCCCAAGCACCTCCAATCACCTCTCAAATCTAATAGTGTGAAGAATGAAGAGGTGCCAGATGTGAAAACTGAAATCAACGGTGCCAGATGGAGCCAAGGGACAGCTGTCCAAACTACCTAACTGCCCCTCCCTATTTTTATGTTAATTTGGTTTACTTACTGTTAGTAGTCTACGTATATATAAGGACTTTTCCTTGCTTGTATGAGACGGTTGAGAATAATAAACGCAATTTTCCTTCTTGACGTGCTTTGTCTTTCTTGAAAGTTAACATGGTNATAGTGTGAAGAATGAAGAGGTGCCAGATGTGAAAACTGAAATCAACGGTGCCAGATGGAGCCAAGGGACAGCTGTCCAAACTACCTAACTGCCCCTCCCTATTTTTATGTTAATTTGGTTTACTTACTGTTAGTAGTCTACGTATATATAAGGACTTTTCCTTGCTTGTATGAGACGGTTGAGAATAATAAACGCAATTTTCCTTCTTGACGTGCTTTGTCTTTCTTGAAAGTTAACATGGTATCAAAGCCGACTTCAATGGCGAAATTGAGATCGGAAATTGAGATTTTTCAATGATTTCTTTCCGATTGCGAATCATCTGCCTGAGATCGCAATCCTTCATCAAGGTTCTTCTCTGTTCTACCTTTCTCTCTGATTTTGTTCTTCTCCAGTTTCGTTTCAGCTTTAATGGCGGAAGAAAACTCAATCACTCGAGGAACGATTGATATACACAGCGAACTGTATTTGCATCCTATGGAATCTCCTAGTTTTGTTCTCGCTTCTCAGAAATTGAATGCTGAGAACTTCTCGCAATGGAGAAGATCTGCTGAGATAGCCTTAAGTGCGAGGAACAAACTAGGATTCGTTACTGGCTCTACTAAAGCACCAGATCCAAGTTCTCCTTTGTATCAACAATGGATTCGCTGCAATAATCTGGTTATCTCGTGGATTTTGCATTCGGTAGAAGCTGGAATTGCTAGCAGCATATTGTATTGTGAGACAGCTCAAGAAATTTGGGAAGACCTAGCAGAGAGATTCAGTCAATCCAATGCTCCAAGGCTTTATCAACTTCACAAAGAAATGGTTACTTTGGTACAAGGTTCTGATTCTGTATGCGAATATTTTACCAAACTGAAGGGGCTGTGGGATACATACTTGACTATGATAACTCTTCCTCACTGCAAATGTGATGGTGCAGAGAGTTATTATAAATTGTTACAAAATCAACAACTAATGCAGTTTTTGATGGGACTAAATGATTGTTTCAAAGTTGCTAGAGGAAACATCTTGATGATGATGCCTTTACCAAGTCTAAATCAGGCCTACAAGTTAATCAGTCAGGAAGAGACTCAAAAAGATTGCACCACTGCTGCACCTTTGGCCTATGAATCCACTGCTTTGGCAACAGTTCATCCTGGTGGATCCAACAAACCTGTCTATGGAACTACTCCTAGCGGGAAGAAGTCTAAGTTCTTTTGTCAGCATTGTAAAGTGTTTGGACACTCCATTGACAGATGCTTCAAAATACATGGGTATCCTAAGTCCAACAGGGGCAGTAACACAACTGGAGAGCAAGGGTTCAATCAAGGGAAGAAACTAGCTGGAAATGCTGTCACAGATGGAAATACTGAAATTTATCCGAATGGTCCTGGTTCCACTCATTCTAATGAATCAAATGTGTCTCTCACTCCCGCACAGTACAGCCAACTGATTGCTCTTTTGAGCAAAGAGAACGTTGACAACAGTGATTTTGGCAATGCACCAGGCTTCTTTTCAAGTCATATGGCTTCCAGTGCTCAATTAGCAGGTATTGGCTACTGTTTCTTCTCTCCTTGTGACAATTTAAATTGGATCATTGATAGTGGAGTCTCAGATCACATCAGTCCTCATTTGCAAAATTTCTCTTCTTATACACCTATCTCTGAACCTTGTTTCATCACCATACCAAATGGACAAAAGGCTAAAGTGTTACATGTAGGAAAAGTCCTTCTACAATCTGGAATAGAATTGTTGAATGTCCTACATGTGCCAGAGTTTCATTATAATCTTCTCTCTGTCCAAAAGTTAGTCTCTCAATTGTCATGTTCCTTTATCTTTCATCCCTCTCATTGTTTGATTCAGGATCAGCAGAAGAGGACTTCTCTGGTGGTTGGTAAAGAAAGTGGAGGACTTTACTTTGTCAAACAGTGTGCACCTCTTCATTCACATGCTTCTTTTCTTTCTTCTGTTGCATGTATGTCTAAGTCTGAATTGTGGCATTGTAGATTGGGTCATTTACCATTCGATAGAATAAATTGCATTCCACAAATCTCATGTACTGATTCTACTTCATCTTCCATCTGTCATGTATGTCCTAAAGCCAGAATGCACAAGTTACCTTTCATTTCAAGTTCAATAAAAACAGTTTCTCCTTTCCAGATGTTACATGTTGATATTTGGGGCCCCTATAACACTCCCACTTATGCTGGTCATAAATTTTTTGTGACCATTGTTGATGATTTTTCCAGATTAACTTGGGTTCAACTTTTATCTCATAAATCTTGTGCTTTTTCTGCTCTTGATAGTTTTGTTCTTCATGTTGAAAAACAATTCCATGCTTCAGTTAAAATCATCCGTTCAGATAATGGGAAAGAGTTTGATGATACCTATGCCCATTCCTTTTACAAATCACATGGGATCATTCACCAAACCACATGTGTTGAGACTCCCCAACAAAATGGAGTTGTTGAACGCAAACACAAACACTTACTTGAAACTGCAAGAGCCCTTTTCTTCCAAGCCAAACTTCCTCCCAAGTATTGGGGTGATTGCATTCTAACAGCCTGTTATTTGATTAATAGGTTTCCTCTTACTGTCCTCCACAACAAAACACCTTACGAAATTGTTTTTCATACTCCTCCCACTTATCATCATCTCAAATCTTTTGGTTGTTTGTGTTTTGCCACAAGTTTATCCTCTCACAGAACTAAATTTGAACCACGTGCCATTCCTTGTGTTTTTTTGGGATATCCTTTCCACAAGAAAGCTTATAAACTTCTTGACCTGTCCACCAAACAGGTCTTCTACAGTAGGAATGTCAAATTTCATGAACATTACTTTCCTTTTCACCATCTACCCAATTCTGCCACCTCTGTCATTCCTACCATGCCAACAGATTTCTTCAACATCTTTTCCTACCCTACACCAGACACACCGTCTTCCACACAACAATCTCATTCTGCCCCTTCCCTTTCCCCCTCTCCTTCCATTACATCTTCAAATTCAGTTCCTCAATCTTCACCTACTCATTCTTCTCCTATTCTTCCTCAGCGAGTTTCTACTCGCCTTCGGAAACCCCCCTCCTATTTACAAGATTTTCATTGCCCCACCTTAACACCTCAACCCACTGCCTTACAGTCTCATTGGTGTAACCTTGTCCACCTTGACTCTCTTCCTCCCGTCTCTACAGCCTTTCTCACTCATCTTTGTTCCTATACTGAACCTACTTCCTTTTCTGAGGCTTCCACTGATCCAAGGTGGATTCTTGCTATGGAGAATGAAATAGCAGCCTTACAGGCTAATGGTACATGGGAACTTGTTGACCTTCCCCCTGGAAAGAAAGCCATTGCTAGCAAATGGATCTACAAAGTTAAACTTAAAGCTGATGGCACCTTAGAACGATTCAAGGCTAGGCTTGTGATTCAAGGCAACCATCAAAAATATGGCATTGACTTCACTGAAACCTTTTCTCCTGTCATTAAGATGACCACTATCAGGTGCATAGTTGCTCTGGCTGCTTCTAGAAAATGGAATCTCTTCCAGTTAGACATTAACAATGCCTTTCTTCATGGAGATCTCACTGACGAAGTCTACATGAAAATCCCTTTGGGTTTTCCAAATTCTACAAATCAGGTCTGCCGCCTCAAGAAATCCCTTTATGGATTGAGACAAGCTAGCAGGCAGTGGTTCACTAAGTTGTCAGGTGCCTTCCAGAGCCAAGGATTTGTTCAATCTAAAAGTGATCCAAGTTTGTTCATCAAGTATACTCCTGCTCATATCACTATAGCTGCAGTGTATGTTGATGATATTTTACTAACTGGTTCAGATCCTTCTTCAATTGCTTCCCTTAAACAGTACCTTGATACCACCTTTACCATTAAAGATTTGGGCATTGCTCATTACTTCCTAGGGTTTGAGCTCACCTACACTACTGAGGGCATCATTTTATCCCAGAGAAAGTTTACACAGGAATTGCTTGCTGAACATCACTGCTTATACAACAAGCCGGTCAAGACTCCTCTTCCTCAACACAGCAAATTTCAGCCAAATGGTTCTTCTTTGCCTACAGATACTGCTCTCTACAGAAGTTTGATAGGCAAACTGAATTTCTTAACACATACTCGCCCTGATATTTCCTACTCTGTTCAAATCTTAAGTCAGTTTATGCAGGCTCCTGATGATTCTCACATGCAAGGAGCACTTCATCTTCTTCATTACTTAGTTGGCACCATTGATCAGGGCATTCTCATGCATGGGTCTGACAAACTCTCCTTGCATGTTTTCTCTGATTCTGATTGGGCTTCTTGTCCCTTTTCTAGAAGATCAGTCACTGGCTACATTCTTCTCCTTGGTGGTTCCCCCATCTCCTGGAAATCAAAGAAACAAAGCACTGTCTCCAAATCTTCCTCTGAGGCTGAGTACAGGGCCATGTCCCAGGTTGCTTCTGAGGTCACTTGGCTGGTCAGATTGTTGGAAGAACTTCGTGTCACAGATCTCAAACCCATTACTCTTCATTGTGACAATCAATCTGCTATTCACATTGCTCGCAATCCTGTTTTTCATGAGAGAACCAAGCACATAGACATTGACTGTCACTTCACACGGGAGAAAGTTCTTGAAGGTCTTATTGACTTGTCCTACCTTCCCACTAAGAATCAGCTTGCTGATGTTCTTACCAAAATTTTGCCAGCTGATCAGTTTCAGACACTTTTGTCCAAGCTGGGGATGGTTTCACCCCCACCCAGTTTGCGGGGGGGTGTGAAGAATGAAGAGGTGCCAGATGTGAAAACTGATTAGTTGCCACGGTCTACCTCGGTTCCCTGTCGACAGGTTTGATGGATTGACGGGGAGGGATAAAAATACAATTAAACCAAATGAATGACAATCATCAGATGCATATATATTCCTGAAAAGGAACGAACATACTCTGCCAACTCTTATTATTTGCGTTAAAACCTTCTTGACGTGCTTTGTCTTTCTTGAAAGTTAACAAATAGCAACCACATACCCCAACTTACTTGAAAAATGGAATGATGAGAATTACCTCAAAGAACGGGCAATATTAACTCCATTGAACACAACTGCAGAAGCTATCAACCACGAGATGTACAAGTTACTCACTGGAGAGGAGAAGACATATAAGAGTTGTGACAAAACTAGTATCACACTCGTGCCTTGCACGATTCATATTTGTGTTACTAAATTAATACTCCCTCCGTCCATTGTTAATGTTCGTACTTTTCTTTTTTATCCGTCCACAAATAAAGTTTCTATTTCCTTTTTTGGAAACTTTTTTATACTAAAAAGACTTAATTACCCCTACCCTTCCACCCTTTTTCCTTTTTTTTTCTTCTTCCTCTCGCCAATCATTCCTCACCCACTTCTCTCTTTTTCTTTCTTTTTTCTCTCTTCTTCTCTCATTTCTTTTCTTCCCTGTTCTTTTCCTTCATTCTTCTTCTTCTTTCATTCTTTTTTTTCTCCCTTCTGATTTTCAGATCTGGTACCTGACTTTTTCTTCTTTATCTTCTTCTTTCATTCTTTTTTTCTCCCTTCTGATTTTCCTTCGGATCTGGTACCCGATTTCTTCTTATTCATCTTCTTCTTTCATTCTTTTTTTCTCCCTTCTGATTTTCCTTCGGATGTGGTACCCTATTTTTTCTTCTTCATCTTCTTCTCCCTTCAGATTTGGCTTAGATCTAAGAAATCTAATTCAAATCTGTGAAGGATTTTAGGGATAAAGAAGGATCTTTTTCAAGTTTTCTTCATCTTCGTCTTCTTCCAACCTCCTTTGATTCTTCTACTCGTGGAAATAGGTTGCCGGAATTATGTCGCCGGAATTTCTCCCTTATTTTGGAATGATACAATTGGGCAGCACACTCCTGCTAGGTTGTCGACGAGATGCTGGGGCCTAGAGAGTGTGGGAACTGGGAATGGGTTATAGGATGTTGGGGTAGAAAATGGGGAGGGCATAATTGGAAAGTCAATGTAAAATTTAACATTCCTTAATCTCCGTGCCAAGTCAAAGTCTGAACATTAAAAATGGACGGAGGGAGTATCATTTTTGAATGATAAAAAAATTCTTAGATTCTCATCAATAGTATTTTGACTCTCAACAGTAAAAAAGCACTATATTCTTTCAAATTTTCTTTGAAAGTGTGTATATTCAAATCTCTGATCTGTGCATGCATGCGATCTCCCTAACAATGAAAAGGAAAAAAGTATATATTACCATGTAATCTCTGATCTGTGCATACATGCGATCTCCCTAACAATAAAAATTCATTTATTTATGTAAAATTAAAAACTGCTTCTTTGACCATGATAGATAAGGTTTGATCCATATTTTTTCATATATAATTAAAATTACATGAGCGGGAAAAAGAATAATACAATCAATATCATGCATTGATTCTGATTAATAAAAAATATATATCTATTTAGTTATAATCCATACTTAATACAAATAAGTTTATTTTAATTTGTCATTTTAATATATTAAATTTTTATATTATTTATCTACTCCGTATTTATGTACATATTAAAAAAATTATGTAAAAAAATTATACATTTAGAGGATTACTTGTGCTATTTATGTACAATTTATTTATGTTATAAAATGCTTTCCATCAATAAGGTCTCTATTATTGTATTTATGGTAATTTAAATCGTAATTATGTTATTTATTCATGCTTCCATTTATTTATTTAGGATTAAAAAAATCTTTCCATATATAATATAAATTGCATTGGCGGGAAAATTGGTCAACATTTCCCCTCCTTTTAAATAAGTATAGATAGATAGATATGCAAAGCTTCCCAAGACAGCGATGAACATCACATTGAATACCCAACTGAATTTCTCAATACATTAACCTTCCCTGGGATGCCCAACCACTTACTTACGTTGAAATGTGGTAC